GTCCTCTTTAAAGGAATTATTTCCTCTATCCACTTGACAACCAAAAACTCGCTTACCCGTATTAATTACAATTAAATAATTTATGGTTTCAATTTCACATATTTCATAATTATGCACATGATTATTATTGAATCAATAATATTCGATAAAAGTAGTTCGCAATTGATAGCAATTAATTTTGTAACAGAACCACAAAAATTACAACAGACAAAACCGAACAAAAGTTCAATGGCCACGAAATGAAACCAGCACTCCAGTTTCAAATGTAACAATCGATTCAGAATTACATACTTTTGTTTTAATTGAATTATATACATATATACATGTGCATGTACATACATACACATCCACACATATACAATAAAACAACACCTACACACATCAACAAAATCAACAAAAATTTATAACAATATCAACAAAAATTTTCTGGTCTATATCGAATTATTATTTTAAACAAATTTTTGCTTTGATAAGCAAAAATTGCCAAATTTACTTTACCCAGTTAATTGTAATTGACGAATATATGAGTCATGGAGAAGTTGCAAAATTTTGTGTGATGACGTGTATATACGTCATGCGTATAAAACTGTGAATATTTTCTATTTAAACTATTTTTTTTAAAAAAACGAAATATTTTTTGGAGTGTCAAATTGTTCAGAATATATTGAAGCTATTCCTGTATAAAATAAGTAGTCGTAAGTGGCATTTTGCCTTAAGGCAAGTTGCATGAACTCAAATGTGTAAATAATATACTTGATAATTAGGTATTAACATTATTTGAAAATTTTAAAACAAATCATGTTCTTACGTTTATAAATACTCATTAAAACTTAAATTGTTTATAAAAGTATGCATTAAAAATTATAATTGATAATTTTTAGTTTTAGGTGTAGGTATATTAAAAAAAAAACAAAAAAATGATACAATGTCGAGGTTGTTTCTAAGTTTGAAAAACAATTCATATTGCCAAAGAATGTAATAATTATAAATAAAAAAATATAAAAAGAATTTTACAAAATACTCATTAAAAATTAAATTGTTCTTTATTAAAGTGTACACTAAGAATTATTTTTTATAATTTAGAGGTTTAAAATTAAAGATTTTAAAATTTTGAAATAATATCGAGGTTGTATATATACGTTTGAAGAAAAGTTGATATTCCCAAAACGTTGAAATAATTATGAATAAAAATATTGATAAAAAAATGATTCAGTATTACAAAGATATATATTCGTATATATTTTTTCATTTCGGTTTGTCGTAATAATATCTGAATCTCTAAAATAAATAAAATTAACGACCGTGCAAAATTTTAGCAATAAAAGCAATGATATAAAAAGATATTCAATATGAAATCGTTCTGCACTTTTTGTTTCCCAATAAAAATTATTATTTCGTTCCATTCGTGTCTAAAAAAAAAAATCGTGCCTAAAAAAATTTATTAACCCCCACTATATTTTTTTATTCTGACATTTTTCTCGTAGTTTTAAAATATAAATATGTTTAGAATTGCTTGTAACATAAGAAATGAAAAAATTACGTTTCACTGTACTTGAAAATTTTTATCATAAATTAATATAAAAATGGCTTTAAAAATTATTTTCTTGACCTTAATTGTAACTGTTTCCAAACTTCAATATATATTTCTTACTAAACTTAGAATACTATACTAATATATATTTGATAGGTTAATAAATTATACTCAACAATTAAATTAAAAATAGCGTTCACTAACCACATGTATTATCTGTAAAAGTAGCTGAATGTACTTATTGTATAGTTCGCTACGTAAAATAAAATATTAAAATATATATAAGTCTATGTGGTAATGTATTAAAATTTGTATTTACTATATTTCAACAAAATTTAGTTATTTTTGTTAAAAATTAATTTGACTAATAATTTAAATTAAAATTAATGTCTACTAATCACATTGTTAGATAACCTCGTTTAAATTTTTGAATGAACTTGGTTTGTGACAAATGCGCCGTCTCTTCAATTTTCGGATGTGTTCGTATAAAACGTGTGTCCATGTGTGGGCGTCAAAACCACACATCCAAAATTATACATAAATACATATATACATACATATACAAATTTATATATGTATATATACATACAAATATAAATTTTCTCCTGTGTCTGTGTCAGTGTCTGTCTGCTGACTTGTTGAATCCCGGATCTGTGCGATCTTCAATGTGTTCGTGCGAATCAATATGTTCTCGTATCTAAGTAGTTTATATAGGTGAAATTCGAAATGTTGTATCGTTTGCCATATGGAAGAGTCGTTCGAGACTTTTGTTATTGCAAAAACGTAATTTGTTATTAACAATTGTCTTTTTATGACGTGCGCATGTGGAATAATGGAAATGATAGGTGGAAATTCGAAAATAGTGAGACGTGCTAAAGTAAATAAAATTTGTGTTAATCCGTAATCTGATTATTAACTTTTCATCAAAAATCGAAGTTGAAAATGTTTTCGTATCTTTACGTTTCAGAGGTTTCTGAACATTTTGATATACATCAGAAAAAATGAACGGTGTTTGTGTGTGTGGATACAATTATTCGTTAACGATTTCGGGCGTACAGAACAACTGATTTTAATTATTCAAAACACATTCGATTCCTATTGATAGGGAGATGTGCTCATTACTTTTTGGATACTTCAAATGAATAATTTTAACCTTACAATTCAGATTATATAATTTTTATAAATATTATCCTTCATTTGAAATCTGATTGAGTTTTGTTTATTAACTTTTCATGTAAACATATATAAGCGTCGTCATCATATTCACGTGCTTTTATATTTTGTCTATAAAATACGAATAATGAAAGTCACAGTATTTATAATAATCTATTTGAAAACATTTCCAGCAATTTTTAAGGCACGTTGCCATATACTACCAGTTTTTTTTATTATTTTTTTTTCATTAAAATTACAATATGTCTTGATAATTTTCAGTGAAAAATATATAAGGTTGAACACAGTCATAATTAAGGTCAAGAAAATGATCTTTTAATGTCATTTTTATATTTTAACTGAGAGTACGAATTATAATAAAATTTATACAACGTAACATAATTCTAAGACTTATATGAATGATTTAAAAAAAAAATTAAAATTTCATTAAATCTAAATTTTGAATTCAGTTTCGAATCTGTCCCGACACAAGGCAAAATGTTTTTGTAAAATTTATACATTTTTTTGTAAATTTTGACTTAAACTACCAAATTCATACTTTGTTGTTGAATTACAATTGCAGTTGTAATTGGATTACTGATTATTATGAAAAAAAATGTTTAAAATACAAAACGGCAATAAGACCCTGTCCAATTTTATCAAATCAAAACATGATTTTAAAAAATTACATGGATTGGATTTAAGAATGTACCATCACTTTCACGTGTTCTTGAAGGCACAAACAAATTCAAATTTAAATATAAAATACAAAAGCAAATGTGTGGCAAATTCAAATATAGAACGGTTGTTTAAAAAAATAAATACGAAATTTGAAATGTAACTTTAGCAATAAAGTAAAAATAAAACGACAATAACCTAAAATAAAACAAAATAAAAACATAATCTCAATCACAGAAATTAACTCCCAAAATTTACTTAGAATTCACAAAAAATCCATTGGAAGACTCGCATCACGTTAAAAGCAACACATTTACGTAAGAATTGTGTTAAATTATATTACACAATGAAATTAACACAATTTTATTAAAAATTCACTTGAATTACATTTTGTTGATATATTCAACATTTAAAAGAAACAATTTAAAAAAAAACAATTCTATTTCACATAATTAATATTGTAAGAAATTAACTACCCGCAGGGTAAGTATACACAAAAACATTAAAATTACGTAACAATTATGCTAATTTATAGAACACGATGAAGTTCATAAATTTTTAATAAAATTCAAGTATTTTTTGGTACCACAAAAACATTTTGGAAGCATAAAAGAATCACAACAAAATTGCAAGGCAAAATGTCTTAATTTGGAAAAAAATATTTGGCGTGTTTTCGGAACTAATTTCAAAACCTAATTTTTTTCGTTTTTAGAAACTTATTTTGATTAGTACGAAATAGTAAAACGAACACTAGTTGTATAGTACTTTAATAAGAGGTAAACCATTGGCGTTTTCCTTTTAAAAAAACACTAATGATTATCCAATCACTTAATGTTTATTATTGTAAACCACATTAATTCAGTAATAATTTCTGAACTAATAATATTTCAAAAGAAAATTTTGAGAAAGTAACAGCACCAATTTGATTTCACCAAACAAATGGTTTAAGAAAAAACATCGCATTTACGTAACAAATACGTTAAATAATAGAACACGATGAAATTAGCACAATTTTCACAAAATTCGCGCTAGTGAAATTCACCTGATATCACAAAAATATCTTTAAGACAAAAACGACTCATAAATTGCAAAGTTGAATCAAATTCAAAAAGACAATACTTGGCGCCATGTTTTTTTCCAAAATTTATTTCAAAAACTAACTTTATTTATGCTACGTGTGAGCCATATTCTCGTCGATTATAAAGAACAAAATTATTTTTGCATCACTTTTCACAGTGCACAAAAATGTAGGATCTTTTTACACAAAACCACAAAAAACTCACTCAACCACCTCGAATGCAAATTTACGGAAATTGTTTGAATAATCACGAAACCAAGAAAATTACATAGCACAAAGCAATTTATATAATTAATTGATAAATTAATAATCACTATTAATTTACCACTTTTATATTTTTTTACAATTTTGTATAAAAAATATATTTTTAATACACGGCGCTACGCACTTGTCCTTTACGACCATATTGAACATGAACACATTATCCAACACCCACATTTTGTCGGCAGAAGAATTATGACACAATTCTTGAACTATCATTCATTTAGGCACCACATTTGGGCAAAATTACTTAACTAAAACTTAAAATAAACTAAAAAATTTTTTTTTAATCGCACTCACCTCGACGGAAATGGGGCAACTCCAAGCTGAGATCATTAAAACTATCACCAATAACACACTATCACAAAATAGATCCTAAATTAGGCTTTTTGGTAAATCCTAAAATAGGTTTTGGAATCAATCCTGAAAACGATGGTTAATTTTACTGATTATTTAACATTTATAACACTGAAGGAAATGACTGAGAAAATGTAGTTTCCGGCGGACACTCCGGCCGATGGTTGGTCACACTGTACACTAAAGGTTTTTATTTTTTCACCAATTACGCGCCAAATTTTCGTTCGAGTATTAAATTATTATTTTTTTTTTAAACACTTTGAAATATTTCGGGAGCAAAAACACGTCTTTATGCTTTTGCGGTTCGGCAAGAACTGACTGAAGAATGAAGTAACAAGTGATTTCGTTGTATGGGACAGAACGAGATGCATGTATGGGGTTGAGAGAGATGGATAGTGATAGGCAGGGGCGGACTGGTGGAAAATTCTGGAAAATTGTTTAGATTTTCTTATTTATTTATGAATTTTGCGGTTTCTTTGTGGAAAATTATACTGTGGGTTAATATAGATTTATTTATATATGTAAAATAAATTGATTATCTTTTTACGGTTTCTTTCAGGAAAAACCATTCAGGGGGTCAATTTAGACTTATTTTGATATTTAAAATAAATTATCTAGTTGCAACTTGCCTAAAGCCAAAACCCATTATTTAAAAAGTTTAATAACTTTCATTTTCAAAATTTTCTTAAGTATTATGATTTTTTTTTTTTGAAAACTTTTAAAAGTATCTTAAGTATTTTGATTTTTTTAACATTTTCAAAAATGTTGAAAACATTCAAAATTTAGCTCTTCTGTTCAGAGTCATTAAACTTTTTTCTATTGCATGAGAGATACAAAAGGCGTCCCAGAACTCAACGTCAATTGTGGTAACTATCATGAAAAATTTAGAAAAAAAATCCGTGTAGTTCAAAGGTCAGTGAATTTTTTTCTATTGCATGGAAGATGTAAATATTAAGGGTGTCCCAGAACTCAACGTCAAGTCAAGAAAAATTTAGAAAAAAAATTCCGTGTAGTTCAAAGGTCAGTGAATTTTTTTTGTATTACATGGAAGATGTAAATATGAAGGGTGTCCCAGAACTCAACGTCAAGTATAGTAACTATCATGAAAATTTTAGAAAAAAAATTCCATGTAGTTCAAAGACAGTGAATTTTTTTCTATTGCATGAAAGATGTAAATTTGGAAGGTGTCCCAGAACTCAACATCAAGTATAGTAACTATCTTGAAAAATTTAAAAAAAATCCTGAGTTCAATACAAGAAGACAAGAAGCCAATATGAGAAATATTAAACAAAATCATCTAAATCGTTTGATCTGTGCTCTTGAAATCGTTACAAAAATTTGTATCCGCACATACATACATACACACACATACATAATTTTTTTTCAAGATATGCCAAAATGCCATTTGAACATTTCGAGTTAGAAATCCTACTGGAAATTAATAAATTAAAATAAAACATTGATTAAAATATTAGCTAATAATAATTATAATGAATGATATTAATTACGGAATACTGGAATATTGTGGATTTTTTTCAATAATTTACATGTCTATGTAGCACTAAAAAAATATACTATGGTTCAATGACAGGTGTAATTACAGGTAATATTATATTTTAACAAACTTAAAAATGCTTTTTTTATGATATTTGGGAAATGATGTAAAATGAAGCAGTCATTAAAATGTTGCATTTTACATACAATCTTATAAATTTACACAATGTTGTCAATTATCAAATTGTGTAAATTTAAATGATATGTTTTTAATCTGATTGCTATTTAATTATTATATCACAAATACGATTTTCAGTAAAAAACAAATTTCTTGGAGAAGTTAAAAATATACAAATTCGTAATTTTATATCAATATTTCATTCAAGCAAAAATTCTTCAATATTTAAATTACTTATTTATTATTTTAAAAAAATGTATAATTCATATGTATATTTATGTAAATTGCACTGCTAATATCAAATCCATAAGGAATTTATTATTTTCAAAACAAAGTAAAATTTAGCCCTGCTTTCGAAACTCTTTACAAAATATAGTAGTCTGGTTATGTAATATTATTGAAGTCTAACAAATTGAGCATTTTGGATCGAGTTTAGGACACATCAAATTCGCAAAGTTCTCAAAATGCTAGATAGATATAAATAAAAATCATAAAATCAAACTTAAGCTGAGAATTCAAGAAATTCAAAAATTTAACGTTTAAGTCATCATACATATTAGATCCTACATAGTTCCCATTAGATTCTACATAAAATCTAATTGGAACGTAAAAAGAATTGTGAGATTCAACTATTTAGACAAAATGTGCAACCTACTGTTCATTTCAAAAATGAAATTTTCAATTGATTGATGTCTAATTAAAACATACTTATAATATCTGCAATTGTATAAATTAAATTAAATTTTTTTAATCATTTTATTTTATATTTAGAATCTTATTAGAATCATTTAGGCGCACGGTGAAACTCTAAAGTTTGATGATTTTTTATAATTCAACAACCAACTATCGTAAGCCTATAATATTTTAAATAATGTATAAAAAATATTAAATAATTATATCAAAATCTATAGTCATACAAAAAATCTGCAAAATCGTCAAAAAAAATTGATGACTTGCATTCGAAATAATTTATTTTTATACCTAAACTTCTACTTTGGAAAGTTAAAAATCAGTAAAAAAAAATGTACATGTAAATTACTATGTATTCAAAACAAAAATGTAGAACGTATAGTTCAAATTGCAATCAAACCTAACTAATAAATAAAAAGAAGAACAGGATCGAGTCAATCTGTTTTTTTTTTGTACAGTATTTTTTGGAACAAATTAAAAAAAATTGTTTCAAAACCAACTTGGTAATTTTTTTAATTTGATCTAAATATATTATTTAATAACTAAAATAATAGTGAAATAATAAGAATGCACTGACACAGTTTTAACAGCGCCGCATGACCGCATAATAGAAGTCAACATACACCAACAATTATGGTTCTGGTGACGTTTCACCAGGTACCCAGAAACGCTATTGGTTGACCAGCAAGTCTTCAACCAATCATCGTATAAGAATCTAAACTTTATACCATCTGGCTTATTTTTGATTTAGACGAAAGTATTCTTCGCAACCAGAACGGAGTACATACACTCAACGATATGACTAAAGGTACGTCATGGTAAGTTTCTTGTGCTGTGGTTGGTGAAGAAATTCCTCAGGAGCCTATAAGCGTCGAGGGAACCAGGACAAAATTTATTTTGTGATAGTATGTAATCCGCGAAAGTAGTGTTTCACTAGTAGCGAATGTGTTCTACATACGTAGATGATGATGATGAGAGCGGTTGAATAGTACATCCTTGAAGAAGGTTGCTAATTTTCCAATGGAAAACTTGAAAATATCAGATTTGATCTAATAATTCTGGTGCATAAGAGAAATAACTTTCTGTACCGTAATTAAAAATCTTGGTACGAAACCCTAAAAAATTACTTAAAATATGAATACACATTATTAAAATCTCTATACAATATCTTATATTTTAGTGTTCATATGCCCAATAAACGTTTTTTACCGCCAAATGACATTTTTTAAAGTTATTTTTCCCTTCCCAAAAATTTAATCAGGTTTTCATCACAAGTAAAATGTTTAAAATTATTAAAATCGGACGCACGGTTCTCTTAAGAACTGAGTTAGCGTTTTTGGCACTTTTTGTGCTAAACCTGCCTTCGCCAAAAACTAATCAGCACGTCGCCTTATCAACGAATCGAATGTTTTTTTAATTATTCAAATCGGTTGATCGGTGTTCCCGAAATCTTCGACGAAAATTTGTATCCGCACACACACACACATAAACACACACATATATCAATTTTCTCAGGTCATATAGGATAGGATATTGTTTTATGACCAAACATAATTAATAAAATTAAATTATCAATAAAACGTTAATATTACAAATGATGACAAAATGCACGTTTACCGTCAATAAAGTATAAGCGAGGATTCAGTTGATTTTTTTAAATTTCAAAATTTATCAAAAAACCTAACAACCATCAGATTATATTACTATTAATATATTGATTCTATATCCAATATGAATAATGTTAGATTCATGAAAAACCTCACATCCTATATAGATTTATATATTTTTTTGAGAACCATTCAGTTACTTTCAGTCGGAAATGAAATAATATTTGCTCAGAATGCCAGGTTCAATTTTATGAAGATTATTTTATTAATATTAAAATTTTCATTATTGTCTCCATTTTCATTCAACCGGCAAAATGAATGAACTCGAACAACGCCTACGATTTTACTGTTTGAATTAATGATATATGTGAAAGATAAAGCATTTTGTCAGCCAGTCAGTAAAATTAGAAATTTTTAATTAAATTATTTTAATGATTAATAAATTTTAATAATTGAAATTTCATAGACTCGACAGGTTTAAGAATACTTTCGAAAGGAATACTGATAATCCTTTGAACTTCACCTCTTTAAATACTTTTTATGACAATTTTAAGATTAACGTATATTTAATAAATACCTGATTTTAGTAGACGTTTCATCCTCAATCCGGTGGCAGCAGTTGACATAGACACATCTGAAAAAATGTGGTATTTTTTGTGATAAAAGTATTAAATGTAATAGTAAACACAAAATAATAATTTAGTTATTTAGTATAATTATGTATGAACTAATGTCATGAGGCTAACTTTTTTTCAATATTTAGTATTATTTATAAGTCGCTGAACCAGTCGCTGACACAGTGTGGGTTGTCAAAAAATGATTTGATTTGTATTTTGATTAGTATGGGGCTGTATGTTGTAGGAATGTCACATGAAATGTTGAAGTGATGTTGTATTGATGTCAACTAAAAAAATTAGTTTAGTGATATTTATAAATACTTGGAAAAAAAAATTCTGTACATTCTTATATACATCCACACATCTTATATACAATTAAACGGATAGATTTCATTTTATTCTAAGGTATGGCAAAATGCTCAGAAGGTCTTGGAATGTGACAACGATTTTTACTTGAACATATAGATAGCAATATGGTTCAAAGTGAAATTCAAAGCACCAATAAAAATGTCAGCTCTCTTAGATAAAATCTAATATTGAAAAATCACCAAATTTGGATATGGATGATGGTTCCATCTAAGAATGAAGTTAGGAGAAGTTTCAGCTCTAACAGCTTATAGAACATAAGGTTTTGG